CAAGGAAGAGTTAAGAATTTCTAATGATAAGGGTAGCACCAATAGTCCTCTAGGAATAATAAACAGGAAAGTTCTATGGCTAGATCATAGGCTTCTAAGGGAGAAAATAGAGCTCAATAGACCTCAACTAAAAGTAAGGTCAACACAAATGTGGGGATCGAAAAATTATTGAACCGCTGTAGCCTTCTTCAGTGAGAAGCTGAATGAGTCAATAAGAAAGTATTTGACATACGACAAAATGATTTATGCTATTGTGAGGGCTCTTAACCACTAGGATCAGTACCTACTGACGAACAAGTTCACCAAATTCACGAATCACGAGACTCTGAGGTTCTTGAACAATCAGAGCAAGTTGAAGGTCGGGCATGCTTCCTAGGTTGAGTTCCCAGCATCGTTACAATTTGTGCTCAAGCACAAGGTAGGAAGACAAAATCGAATCGCCAATGCCTCGAGTCACCACCACTTGCTGATCACCTCCATGCATACTAGAGTTGTGGAGTTCGAGGTGGCGAAGGAGTTGTAAGAGGCAAATAAAGACTCAGGGAGATCTGTGAACAATGTCAGGAGAAGTTGACAAAACAGTATCACAGAGCTGATGGCTACCTATTCCGCCAGAACAGGTCGTGTATTCTCGGATGATTATTCAGGGAGTTCATCATCCAGGAGAGTCATGATGGGGGATTAGTGACAGTGACTTTATATATGCTTAAAAATACAAGTATTTAATACTGTTGCTAGAAGATTTAATTCATCAGCAACGACACCAAAAATTTGACAACGGTTATAGATTCGATAAAGATGTATATATAAAATATTCAATAATGGTAAAGTCACACTTATCAATGTAAGTATACGTATCACTCAAGTAATACAGGACTCTAATGAAGTCCTAGATATCGATCCCACGGGGAGTAATATTAGAGGCTACGAAAGATTTTAGAAAATCAATACTTAATCACAACAATATAATTCAAATTGTTTATCTGTCACTAATAGGCAATTGAAATAAATATGTAATTTTAATAACTCTTAAATAACTAATTTTACTAATAAAGTTTCTAATGTGAAATTCAATATATAAGAAAACATTCTTCTCCTTGTCAAGAAATTAAAGTGAATGGATAAGTAAATCAGTTCAAATTGGATTGTGTCAAATAGGAGCATAGTCCAGGCATAAAGAATATTGACTAATCATATGCATAATTACTGAATCTGCGGCTAGGCTGGGAGGATATCGGCTCTCACTTC